CACTGTATGTGCGCGTCTGCATGTGGTATTTTGTGGAAGAGCCACACTCAAGGGGCCGCAGTTTGCCGACCACTGCACTAGGGGCTTCATTTACCTGTTATAAACTCTAGAGATCTTTGTTTTGCTTCAACCTTTTATATCCATAGCTCAATGTCAAATTCACTTCATGAGCATATTTGGATGATACCTCCCCATAGTGAGTGAGGCTGACACAATTAGAAGTGTCTGCTAGAATGTATTTCTCTGAACTAAAGGGAAAGGAAGGTAGAGCTGATTTAAGATCTATGGAATGGTTAACATGTATTAATAGGCCTCTTTCTAGAATATTGGAGGAAGGTGGACATTCAAGTGTCTGAATCCCTCTAACTATCCCTCTGCCTGATAAAGCATCATCTTTGTCCCAGGGGAGCCTCTTTCTCTCTCTCCCATTCCCCACAACTTTGTTTTATATTGAATTTCCTTCCCCCTTGGAGAACTGTGCTCCCACCTCTCTTCAATAATGGTGTCTTCACAGCGATGTAAACACTCATTATCACATAATTTCTGGGGGTCAGGAAGCTCGGAATGGCTTAGCGAGTGGTCTGGCTTGGGGTTTCTCAAGATGTTGCCCAGGGCTGCAGTCATCTGAAAGCTTGACTGGGGCTGGAGAATCCACTTCCAAGATGAATCACTCACGTGGCTGGGAAATTGTTGCTGACTGTCTGCAGGGGATCTCAGTTTATTGCTACATGGACTTTCCCATAGGGCTGCTTGGGTGACCTCATGACATGGCAGTGGGCCCCTCTCCTCCTGAGCAAGTAATCCAAGAGAGCAAGAAGGAAACCACAATGACCTAACCTCAGAACTTACACACCTTCTTTTCTGCCATATATTATAAATTACACACAGATCAGTCTTATTCAGTTTGGGGGGCGGTGGTGAGTGAATACTAGGCAATAAGAAACATTTTGGAGGAAGGCTAATGCAATGCATTACAATCTTCAAAACTTGTGACAACAAAATTATTGTTCAATGGGTTATTCCAAGACAGTAGGATTCCATGATACATAAGGTGGGGGAAACCACCATGGATGGTCACATCGGGGAGTGAGGGTCTTAGGGGGTCACAAGTGAGGGGAAGATGTGTGTCTGGAGAAATCGTCCTGAAAAAGGAGTATGCATTGAGGACTCCCGCCTGGAACTGGGGCTCAGGGGCCACTCTAAAGAGGATCTCTCACTTTAGAAAGGCTACACAAGACGTCCCTGCCAGTCCCAAACTGTTTGAAAGGTCCATACCCTTGTAAGCTGTTTATTTCCTCTGTCCTACATCAAAGATAGGGTGGGAAAAGGTCAAAGTTCATAGGCTGAAAAGAATTACCACAGAATCTCTAAAATCTGGAGATGGAGATAATGTAGAATGCTCAGTCTTTCCATGCTGGGAGGGAGCAGGCTTCTCTGTGGGACTGTTTGTGCTGTTCTCAGCCACATGACTGGACCCCAACAGTCTCTTTTATGATCTGCGCTAAGAGTACAGTAAAGTCACTTGGGTGATTCAGATCACAAAGGACCCCGTTCTTCTCTGCTTAATTTGCACAGTGACTTGTTTGCAAAGGCCCCAGTCTGGGGTTGGAGGAAATAAGTTCTCATCCAATGTTTACGGTGATTATCAGAAGACCCAGCAAAGGAGAGGAAAGGACAGGGGGGCGGGGTGGGGGCGGGGGAGGGAGAGGCTAGAGAATGAGAAAGAATTTAAAATAGGGAAGAAGCAATGGGGGAAGGGACGGGAAGGGAAGGGAAGGGAAGGTGCGTGAGAAAAGGAAAACCCGCTCTCACGAACGCCGAAGAGCGCTTTCATCATCTTGGGCCACAAGGTGGCACCCTCTGGACTTTCTTCCCCCATCAAAATAAGAAACGGGGCAGAGAGGAGGGAGTAAAGGCAAAGCACTCCCCCGACCAAGAACAATTTGAAAACCCACCCCATAATATTTAAAATCTGGGACAAAGAACCGTCTGGACGGAACTGCTTCAATTGCAAAACCTCAGCGCAGCCTCGGGAGCGCCCGGCGGGCCGGAGTCAGAGCAGCCCCTTTAAAAAAGCGGAGTACAGTATTGGGATTCTTGAAACCTGAAACCTAGAAACAGAATCGAAGCGGAAACCAGAAGGAAAACCTTGAACTCCTCCAGACAATTGCTTCCGGGGAGTTTCGGGAGAGCGTGGGGGAATAAAGGGCCCGAGAGGAGGGCCCCTCGGATGGCGCGTCCCTGAGGGTCCTGGCGAGTTCGAGGAGCGTGGGAAAGAGAGGACCCTACCCTCTCCCTGGGCTGCAGGTCATGGCCACCGTGGAGCCGAAAGCCCTCGGCATTGGCTTCAAGTGGCTCTCTTTGGCCACTTTTGTGCTCATCTGCGCCGGGCACGGGGGACGCAGGGAGGAAGGGGGTCCCGCCTGCTACGGGGGATTTGACCTGTACTTCATTTTGGACAAGTAAGTGCCCTCAGTTGTTCCACGCGAGGCTGAGCTGATGATGCTTCCTCCCGGGCTGGGCTTGTTGGCAGGGTGGCTTGGGGACAGGCGCGCCTGCCCAGGGACCGAGAGGGACCCAGCGCTGCGCCTTTGTCAGGGGAGCGCGCCTCGCATCCTCTGCTGCCGGCGTCCGCAGGGGAGGTGGCCCTGCTGGTTCGGGAGACGAACTTCTTTTCTGCCTGGCTTTCCGTGACCGAGGAATGTGCAAGGGAGTGTGAGGATGCTGTTGACCTACTACGTTTCTGCCGATCCTTCTCGTTTGCTGCAGAAACCTCAGTGAGAAAAGCTTGCTTAGGAGAGGCAGAACTTTCGGGCACCTCTAACGTCAGGCGTGGGCTGTTCAAAGTCTCCCGGCTCCTTTTTAAAAACGCTTTCCTACTTAATGCATCACCTTTGTTCCTAATAACATAATGCATGCTGACTGGGCAGTTAGTGGAAATACAGGGGGATTTCTTAATCTCCCCACTATGGAGCCTCAGACTGGGAAATTCTTTGTTGTGGGGCGGTCTTGTGCATTGTAGGGTGTTTATCAGCATCCCCGGTCTCTACCCACTACTGCCAAGTGGGGATGCCAGGACCACCCCTCCTCCATCCTCCCTCCTCCCTCCTCCCTCTTTCCCACTCTCCCCCGCCCCCGGTCCCAAAGTGGAGACAACCAAAAATGTCTCCAGACGTTGCCAAAAGTCCCCTGCGGGTAATAAACAGCCCGGGACTCGAGAACCACTGATGCAGGCGAATTCAAGTTCTTGGCGATTTGACTGGCGGGCTACCAGGGAGGTGCAGGAGCCCTGGTTTCTTATGAGAATGGATAGTGGTTAGGCATCTGGATTGTGCTCAAGGGAGAGCGGAACTCTGATCGATTAAACACTTTCCAAATCCCCTTAGATTTGCCAAGCAGCAGGCATTCCAGGAATCTCCGTGCTGCCTACTAATAAACAACTCCGACCATAAAAAGCCCCTCAGAGAAGATCGTGCTCCTGAAGAACTGTGAGCTCCCCAGCGCCAGGAGAGTCGCTTGCTGTTACAGTGGTGGGGAGATGAATTTCACAGACTGGAAAGTATTTGGGAATTGGAAAAAAGAGTCCTGCAGAATAAGCTGGCCAGCTAGAAACCAAATGTGCTTTGCAGTTGCCCCTAGAGTTTGATTTTTCCGTAAAGGCTGTTTTGAACTCCAGATTCTTTGGATGAAAAGTGAGATCTTTCTTGCAGATTTATGAGAAGGTGGATACTGAAAATATACTCCAATGTTAAGAAATGGAATTTCTTTTGTTAGTTCTAGTGGCTGGGAGCACCAGCTCACAGGTTCAGAGACTGTCTGGAATCAGAGATCCATCATTGAGCTTAAAAAAAAAAAGTTTGTGTGTTTTTTAAAGCCAATTGAGAAGGACATACAGGGAACCTTGAAAACATGGACAGAATCACCATGTCCCTAAATGGTACTGTAGAGATACTGTACTCCCGTTCATACTGTAGAGATCATAAATTCTCCCTAAATCAACTTATAAATTGAATTCAAGTTTTCAATCAAAGTTCTGAATGAATTTATTTTGGTGGTGAGAGGACTTTAACAAAATAATTCTAGGTTTATCTTGGGGGGAGGGCAAAAGAGCGAAAACAATGTTGAGGAAAAGAATAGTGAAGAAATGCTTATACCTCTGAATATTGAAATGTATTATAAAGCAAGTTAATAAAAAAAAGAATGGTAAAAGCCAAAAAATAGGTGGACAGAGTAGAAAATCAAGACATAGCTCCGAGGATATGTAAGCATTTAGAGGAAGTTCAAATCAGTGGGAATTAATTTGTTGTTTTAAAATAAATGATTCTTGAACAATGGTTGATAACATGGGAAAAGAAAAGGTTATATTTATACTTTACACCACCCAACAAAATGAATTCCAGGATTGAAAATTTAAATGTTTAAAATGAAGTGATGAAAGAGCTAGAATAAATGTTAGATATTACTATAATCTTAGTTTTATAGTTTTTAAAACAGGACAGAAACAACAAAGAAAACTATAAAAAGATTTAAATATATTAAATTTTTAAGTTTCTAAAAGTTAAAAATGCTATAAATAAAAGATAATAACCAGTTGTAAAAACTTTTGCAATGCAAATTACTCTTTGAATATATATAAAAAGCAGTTTTTAAAAGATCATCCCAATAGAAAATAGGAATTACTATATAAATAATTCACAAAAAATATGTATCAAAGGCAAATAAATTTAAAAGTTCAACTTTATTAGTAAGCAAAGAAATGAAAAATCAAGATATAATTTGTATTAAGTTGGCAATTTTTTTAAAGAATAACAATATTTAGTGTTGGCGAACTTGTAAGAGTAGGCACTGCCATATTTTACTAAGAAAAATATAAATTTGTACAGTCTTTCTAGATTTGTGCTGTGCAATGGAACTCTCTGTGATGCTGGAAATGTTCTTTATCTGTGCTGTCCAATATGGTAGCTACTAACCCTTTATGGCTGTTGAACACTTGAAATGTAATTAGTGTGATTGAGAAAGTGAACTTCTAATTTTATTTAAGTTTAATTAATTTAACTTTAAATAGCCCACATATGGTTACCATATTGGATAGCAAAGACAAGAAGATAATTTAGCAACATGTATCAAATGCTTTTTAAAAATAGGTTTCTGCTTTTCCATCTCGCAATTCCATGTCCTAAAGAAAAAAATTCAAGAGTCACATAGAAGTGCCTATATGTATGTTCATGGCAGTGCTATTTGTAAATAAAGCTGAACATTAACTAAATGTCCAACAACAGGGGATTATTAAGTAAGGCATAATAAATGCCTACTGTGCATATTTGTGAGATGTTTTAGGAAAAATATTTAATGCTCATAATATACTCTTAGGTGAAAATACAATTACCAAACATTATATACATTATAATTCTGCCTTTGAAAAAAAGCTTAACAGATGCCTATATTTACCCAATATGTAATAGTATTTCTCTCTAGAATATTTTTGAATTCTGTTTTTATGCTTTTCTGAATTTTCAAAAGTAACAATGAACATGTTACCTTTATATTCAACAAAAATAAATTACTTTGAATTTAAAAAAAAATCATTTCAAGTGTGAGGAGGATCTCTAACTAGTGTGCTGAGCTCTGAGCCTCTCACCATTGTAGAGGATGCTGCTTATTCCACATATAATCCTGGAATAAATTTCTAAATGCACCATGTCATTATGGACCCAAAACTGCTTTGGGAAACAAATTGTGGCGAAACCTTTACAGGTACCTACTTTACATTTACCTGGACTCCTCTGACTTCCTTTAGTTGTCCTATTGCAGTGATGGCGAACCTATGACACGCATGTCAGAGGTAACACGTGAACTCATTGTTTTGGTTGATTTTTCTTTGTTAAATGGCATTTAAATATATAAAATAAATATCAAAAATATAAGTCTTTGATTTACTATGGTTTCAAATATCAAAAAATTTCTATATGTGACACGGCACCAGAGTTAAGTTAGGGTTTTTCAAAGTGCTGACACGCCAAGCTCAAAAAGTTCGCCATCACTGTCCTATTGCCTGAAGTGAGGGATATGGTGGTGCTGAATGAAAAACTTGCTACTACAGCTACTTTTTGGTAGCTAGGGCAAGCACTGCTGTCCTGAACTTACAGATGAGAAAGCTGTTCAAGCTTTGTTAATTCACTGGATGAAGTGACCTACCCAAGAACCTAGGATTAGATCATGACAGACTTGGGACGATGTCTGCTCTTGATTCCCAGCCCAGATCTAGCTTGCCATCTGGATCCGGGCGAATTTCTCCGATTGTGGAGCCCAGAGCCAGGAGATGGGCCAAAAGGTAGTGATAGCTAACAGGCCCCTGGGTGAGCCCTAAAGACATGGTCTTCTCTTCACAGATAAGAACTTCCTCAATTAGTGCTATCCAGCACCCAACCACAGCAGAGCAGAAAGAGAAAGAATGCTAACTTGTTTTTCCCTTGGGCCTCTAAGGTCCTTTGTCCAGCAAGACATTGTCTTCAGGCTGAAACCAGTGGGTCACAGGGCCCTGAATTCACCTTTCTTCTCCCCACCCCTCAACTCCCTTTTTCCCAGTGGATGGTTCTCTTCTTTTTTTATGACATTGAATCTCGGCTCATTTCAGCTTTAAGCAGGATGCATCTCTGGCCTGGAAGGAACCCAGATTATACATTTAATGGAACGTCATGTTTTCTCAACCAGGAGCAAAAGACTTTATAATGACAACCTAGGCTACCACAGTAACACAATAGGGCATGATTAGCGGCTTTGGCGATGGGGTTGGTGGACTGGGCTTCACAAGGCTTTATACCGATGGAATTTCATGTTCATTTAAACATGCTTTTCTGGTTACAGTCAGGAAAAGTAGATTGCTGGAAATTCAATCAGGGATTTGAAAAGTCAGAGTTGAAAGGCCTTTATCCAGAGAAAAACAGTCAAGGAGCTTCCTTAAGTCTTCCAGGGGGTCTGCTAAGATGAACGCACTCCGTTGACCAATACACAGACATAACTGTACCTCTCCTCCCTCTCACAGGGCTCTTCTACTGCTGCACTGTGTATTTATGTATCATATATTGGTCTGTTTTATAGAGAGCTATTCATCATTTAAATGGAAAAAGGGGATTCTTCACTGTGGGTCTCAGGCAAGTGCTGGCTATATTCATGTGTGCCCTAAAAACTTTGAAACTAGAATGGTGGCATGGAGAGTAGAAGGAATGGAGGAGACATTGAGCTGGAGGGTGACAGTAAGCACTGAATAGCTTTATTTATAGGACTTGCCAAAGCCACAGCCTGTCACCCAATAAATCCCTACATTTGTAAAGGCCCCCCACAGGCTTACCAGGTGCTCCTTCACCATTAGAGCCTCCGTACTCCTCCCTCTGCCACTTCCTTTTTGTTCAGCACCAATTTTCTCTTTCCCTTAACCCCACACAAGGGGACCTTGTCTTGCCAC